CCAGCCTGTTCCCACCTACCCAAAGTGCAATTTTTATTTCTAATTATTGAGGTGATGAGTGAGGTTTGTCGAGAGTTTTCTTGGAACCGAGGTTTCTTGGATGCTTCCTTGGAAGTATTTCTCCAGTGCTCTCAATCACTATTTTTTCCCCTTCTCCTGCTCTGGGCTCTGGTAAGAGGCTGTTTTCCTGGCTGCCTTTGCACAGGACTCAGCTCCATGGAGTGTCCCACATCTGCCAAGTGCAGGTGCTTCATTAGCTGAACTTCTGTTTGGCATTGCCCAGGAACACGGGTGCTTTGGAGCAGATGGACATCTGCTGAGAGATGCCAATGCCAGCAGGGATGTGATGGACAGTCAACTTCAGGCCAGATCCTGAGCACAGAGGGACCTTCTGAAAGGATGACCATGGACAAAACTGATGTCTTCCAGTCAGGGAGACTCAGGGCTGGGCAGGGTTAGACCCGTTGGTTGAAGTAACCACCACGTTTGCTGGTTTGGAAGCAGCAAGCCCAAGCAAACATCTGGGCACACATCACTGTCAGCTTCAGTTTTACTGTTAATGTCCTGGAGCAAGGAGCAAGGCCAGAAGATGTTTTGAGTGATGGGTCAGGGCCCTGAAGGGCACTGACAGGTTTTAATGGCCCAGAGCAGCCTCACCTGGGACCTCTCCCACACCTGCCCATGGGCCCAGGGCTCTATTTAAGCTCAGCCCTGGGGCTCAGTCCCAGCCTAAGCTTTAGCATGGGTGGGTCTGTCTCCAGCTTGGCCATATGCCTGTTCCTAAGCATGGACCCAACCCTCTGCCCATGGACTGACTTTCTAGCTTGGCCTTGGAGCTGTTTTGTCCCAGTGGACCTGCCCAGAAACCACTGGACAAGTCTCACACACCTACACAACATGTCTCACCTTGGCCTTTATCACCAGACCTGATCTTGACCTACATGTTGACTTCCTGACTTGAATCAGGACCTACTTCATCATCGTGACCTTGACTGGAGATCTGGGCTCAGGGTTGACCCTGGCTGCCAGCCCTAGCTCTGCCCTACTTGCCCATGGTTGGGGACTGCAGGATGGATGGGCTGGTGAGGACCTTGCTGTGCCCTGGCCCAGCCTTGGGGACAGGGTCACATGGTTACCTCCACCAGTACAAGCCAAGGGGCACTGGCTGGTTTAGAGGAGTGTGAGCAGGTCGCTCAGTTTTCCCCATTCTGGGTACCCTGAGGTTCATCTTGTCTCCTGTTGGATGTTCCCCACACTTCAGGTACCTCCATTTAGCCCATATCCCTTGGCCCATTTATGGTCCATAAGGAGGAGGTACCCCTGTGTGGTTGGGTATGGAAGATATCTTGTCCCTCCAGGTATCCCTGCTCTTCCTGCTCCCTCTTCTCTGTGGGACAAATGGTAGCTGGAGCTGCGGGCTTGTCCTGGTTTCAGCTGGCATAGAGCTAATGTTCTTAGTGGCGCTTTGGTTTGGATTCATTATGGGATTTGGTATGAGAAGAATGTTGATAAAACACTGGTTGCTAAGAAATCAAGGACTTTTCAACATCTCATGTTCTGCAAGAAGGACTTGCACAAGCTGGGTAAGGAGCATAGCGAGAGCAGCGGCCCCAAATTGGCCAATGGGATATTCCATCTCCTGTAACGTCATGCTCGGTACTTAAATGAGGGTTGGCTGGAAAGCTTCCTCTCCCTCTCCCTCTCCCTCTCCCTCTCCCTCTCCCTCTCCCG